CCGACCCTAATATATTTCAACACTGTTGCGGCGTGCAACCCAATCCACAATTATCACTGTTGCGGCGTGCAACCCGATCCACAATTATCACTGTTGCGGTATGCTACCCGATCCACAATTATCACTGTTGCGGCGTGCAACCTGATCCACAATTATCACTGTGTTGGCGTGCAACCCGATCCTCACATAACATTGTTGTGGCGCGCAACCCGATCCGTAATGTCTACCTCTCAACCTTGCCCAAGCAACAGTCACAAATAAAGGGAAAGGGAGTGAACAAGTATTTGGAAGGAAATCCCAACAAGGGTACACAAACAACCAATAATAACCATGCAAAAGTAAATCGTTATTTCTCTTTTTCTTTCATTTTCATATCCTAGTTCTCATTAGCACTCGTGACAAGCTCCAAGTCATTTCTCATCTCATATACTCTCACCATTTGTGTTTCAGACCGAGCCAATGCTCCACGAAGTTCCACAATCACAATATCCTTCACAAGGTGTTTACAACGCATAGAAGCCATCAATTAAGCATGGAAGGCATAACAATATCCAAACAATCCACATATAAGGACTCACGGTCATGCTAGACACCCATGTATAGGAACCCGTCATCATGCCTATACACCGTACTCGATCATTTAGCAATTAGCAAACAAGACTCGACTCCTATTCCCTCAAGCTAGGGTTAAACCAAACACTTACCTCAACTTCCACGGCCAATACAATCCTCCACAATCGCTTTCCCTCTCGAATTCGGCTCCAACTCAACCAAATCTATGCAATAAGGACTTCATGTTATCAATATGTGCTAAACAAATCAAACCCAATGACTAATTATAGCTTTTTCATCAATTTACCCCAAAAGGTCAAAAATGCCCCCGGGCCCACATGGTCAAAACCCGAGGTTCGAACCAAAACCCGATTACCCATTCCCCCATGAACTCAAATATGTAAGTTATTTTGGAATCGGACCTCGAATTGAGGTCCAAAACCCCCAATTTTAGAAAACCTAGGTTCTACCCTAAATTCCCAATTTCCCCATTAAAATCTTTGTTTTGAAGTTTGAAATTATGTTTAAAGATGTTAAGGAGTAAAGAAAATGAGTTAGAAATCACTCACCAATCGTTTTGGAGAAGAAGAATCGTTTGGAAAATCGCCTCTTGTGTTTTGGGTTTTGAAAAAAGTGAAAAATAACTGAAAATCCCGACCTTATATACCCTTCTGAAGACTCAGCGCGGACCGCGCAAAAGTGCACAGCGGCCGCGCTGAGGAGCTGGAATTTCACACTCTCTGAACCCACCCAGCGCGGACTGCATTGATTTGGCACACGGCCGCGCTGGTCGACTTGAACCACTGGCCCTCTGAACCTAGCCACGCGGACCGCGCAAGAATGCACCGCGGCCGCGCGGCTTCCAGCGCGGACCGCGCGGAATCGACCGCGGGCGCTGGGGGCCTGCAACTCCCTGAACCTGCAACCATCTGATATTTCTAGCCTAAGACCTCCCGGGACCTACTCAAAACTCACCTGAGCCCTCGGGGCTCCAAACCGAACATACATATAAACTCAAAAACATCCTACGGACTCATTCGTGCGATCAAATCGCCCAAACAACATCATAATCATCAAATTAGGCCTCAAGACCCAGGATTTCCTTCCAATTTTCATAAAACATCAAGTTTAGAGTTTTTAGTCCAAAACACGTCAAACGACGTCCAAATTCAACCAAACTTTACAGAAAGTACTTAAACTGTATATAAGACTTGTACCGGGCGTCGGAACCAAAATACGAGCCCGATACCACAGTCTTTTAATCAAATTTTATTTCCAATTTCCTTAATTATTTTCAGAAAAAATTTCACACAAAAAATCATTTCTCGGGCTTGGGACCTCGAAATTTGATTCCGGGCATACACCCAAGTCCCATATTTTCCTATGGACCCTCCGGGACCGTCAAATCAAGGGTCCGGGTACGTTGCCCAAAACGTTGACCGAAGTCAAACTTAATCAATTAAATACCAAGATTTAACAATTTTCCTCACAAATTTCATATTTAAACTTTTCCGGCTACGCGCCCGAATTGCGCACACAACTCGAGCCAACCCCAAAGGAGGTTTCCAGGGCCTCAGAAGTACAGAGGGAGTAGGAATACAGGTGATGACCCCTTTGGGTCGTCACATCACCTAATAGAACTTTATGCAATTCTATGTAACTAACCTTGTAAATTCTCAAATTTGCTTAATAATGACTATTCAAAATGACTTTTTTCTTAATCATAAATCATTAAGTTGAGAGTATTTTATGTCATAATTAAAATAAAAATTATTGCACGTTATCTATTAAGACTGCTATGATAGTTAATTTTAAACAAATCTTTCATTTAAAAGGTATTTATTTATTAACTTTTGTTATGTCTTTACTATATAGTAGTCCATAAATTTTTATAATTATTTTTCTAAATATTCTTTTCCACGTTAACAAGATACAATACTTATTAATTTAATAGCTCAGTATTAGCTAGTAACTATTTACAAATAATTAGTTATCATGGTATTGTATGGTAAATTATATGTTACTTCATTAACTTGTTGAAACTTAAAATAAATGATGCTAAAGAATCATATTTAAATTATGAATTATGTTTTTATATAAATTCTCTTTCAAATAGAAAGCATATTAAATAAAAGGAGTATTTTAAGAAAAATATCAAATTATAATATCGAAATTCTTTCAAGATTTATTACTCCTTAAGAGATACATATAAGATTTCGTATCGAATACATTACTTTTGATGTTTGAGTTATAACGACGTTGCAACTAATTTGCATATTATGATATATGTCATACTTTTCGTATTATTCATAGTTGAATTATAATTTATAAATATTTTAAATAGATTATTTTATATAATTTTGTGATTTTAATGTAATTTTTTTATATTTATTTTTCATTTTATACTATCTTAAGATTCTTGAAATCAGTAAAATTTAAAGATCTATGGGACTTACGCCCCATGTCTCAGAGCTTACGCCTCGCCTTGTTAGAGGTAAAACGCCTCGCCTCACGCCCCCGTCTTTTAAAACACTGGTGGTAAGAATACGTGAAGCAATCAAGTAAATTATTTTTGGTTTGATAGGATTGAAAAGAATGCGCGAAGCAAGCAATTAAAATTTGTCTAGTAGTAAATTAGTAATAGAGAATAGATATAGAGTACTGGAAGTGGAAGAAGGGTTTTTGATTATTTAATATATATATATATATATATATATATATATATATATATATGGATAAAAATAAATTTATATGTATATATATATTCTTAACGGGTTAACGGATTATCCGTTAAGAAAATTGAATAATCCGCCCCCAAACCAATAATCCATTAATTAAAAAAATTCAATCCGTTCCCCGTTCGTTAAACAGTTAACCCGATACCAATAAGCCATTAAGCTTCGGTTTCTGTTCGGTTTTGAACACCCCTAGTAATGGCCAATAACCGTCCAAAACGCGACCATTAACGTGTGGTCGGTATTTTGAAGTTTGGAAAGGCACATCGACCAAAGTTGGTCGATAATTACAGACCAACTTTGGTCGGTCAATTAAATTGAAAAAAAAAAGAATTGCTGAAAAAAAGTTATTTTATAGCGCTACTAATATATCTTGAAAATTAATGTTAAGAAAAAAATTAAATATAAGAATATATTAGAAAAATAATATATAAAATAATATTAAGTTATTTATAAATGAAATACATAATTAAAAATATATTGTATAGCATATAATATAGAAGGTATTACATAAATATGAAAGTTTATATAATATCAAGGGCATAATAGACTTTTCAAGTAAAAATGTGACCTTTGTAATAACTAGAGCAAAGTAAAACGATTTTTGTGTAACAAAAGAAAGAAAATGACTTTTGTGTAATGAACACAAAGTTGAATGATATTTACGAAACAAAAAAGAAAAAAATAACTTTTGGATAACAAACACAAAAGTTCAATGACCATGGATAAAATTATCTCCTCAATTACACTATTTATATGAAGGAGTAAGCCAAGAAGGATTAAAGAGATGAGGGAATACCAAGAAACAACGTAACTTCCCATGGATTTTAATTTATTTGCAGCAAAATAGATTGCGTTACTTGCACATTCAATCAGTTGATTTTAAATTAATCCAAGTTTCGTTTGAACCGGCTTGCCACTTGCCAGCAAATAACGGGGAACAAAAGCCGTCTCTATCCCTCTTTTTTAATCTCCTGCACTTTACATATGCCTTAGTGTTAGATGCACTCGGTTCATGAAGTCCTGACATAATGCCCTTTAAAACAAGACTTTAGATTGATGCGATGAGAAAACAAGTTAGTTGTAGCATCTAAGTGTACTAGTTTTAGGATACGCGCTTTACGCGTGTACACTAAATTACTCCATTCGTTTCAAATTAAATGAGGTACTTTCCTTTTTAGTCTGTTCTAAAATAAGTGACGCATTTCTAAATTTGGAAATAAGTCAACTTTAAACTCTTCATTTTACCCCCAACGAGAATCTTTTATAATCACGCAAATGTCATGGTCCTACAAGGATACCCTTAAGCTTTTAAGACCACAAGTTTCAAAAATCTTCTTCTTTTTTCTTAATCTCCGTGGCAATGACATATGTCAAATTCGGGAGAAGAAAGAGAGAAAAAAAAGTGGGATAGAGATGGCTTTTGTTCACCGTTCACTGCTCTCGGTTCCTTCACCTGTATATTTTGTTACTTGGTTTGAATATCCCAAACAACTAGTAATTGGATCTGCACGCAATGCAACCTTTTTTATTCATGCATGGGAACTAGGTTAATTTCTTGGTATTCCCACACTCTTGAACGCAATATGGTCCAACAGAAAATTAAACTTCTAAGGAAAACATGCTATTAATATATGTATATAAGAGCTGTGTCCTTATCTTTCTCATTCACAAAAATAGTGGAATTAAGAGAGTTAATAACTAGCAACAAAAATGAGTAAGAGTGATGTTCATGTAGTAATGCTACCATGGTCTGCATTTGGTCACCTAATTCCATTTTTCAATCTCTCCATATCCTTAGCCAAAGTAGGAGGAATTCATATCTCATTCATATCAACTCCCAGAAATATCAAAAGACTCCCTAAAGTTCCTCCAAACTTAACACACCTTGTAAAACTAGTGGAATTTCCAATGCCAACTCTTGACGACAAGAGTCTTTTGCCTGAAGATGCTGAAGCTACTTCTGATCTTCCAAATTATTTAGAACAACTCCAATACTTGAAAGCAGCTTATGATCTTCTTCAAGAACCAATCCAACAGTTCATTGCAGATAAAAAACCAGATTGGATTATTGTCGATTTCGCCCAATATTGGATAGTTGAGTTTGCTGAAACTCACGATATACCTTTAATTTACTTTAGTATTTTTCCTGCTGTTGCAGTAGGTTTCTCAATTGCTGCATCAGCTACAGATAAGTCGGTGCTTGAAAGTTTCACCTCACCAGCGTCCGAGATACTGCACGTTCCGTTGTCGACTTTGTGTTACCGGAGGTATGAAGCATTAGAGATTATGTCCTCATGTTTTGAAGAAGACGCCTCAGGGGTGTCATATGCTCAACGTGGAGCTGATATAATATTTGCATGTCAAGCCATGGCTATACGTGGTTGCCAAGAATTTGATGGTGAGTACTTGGATGCAGTACATAAAGTCATAGACAAGCCTGCTATTCCAGTTGGATTATTACCACCCGCTGAAACATCAAGAAACTGCAGCTTCAATTACGAAGATGATGATCAGTCAATATTATGGCAGGAGATGTTCAAATGGCTCGATCAACAGAAGTCCAAGACAGTGTTATTCGTTGGGTTTGGAAGCGAAATGGAACCGACTAAAGATCAAGTGCATGAAATAGCATATGGGCTTGAGCTCTCTGGGCTACCATTCATATGGATACTACAGAAGAGTAGTTGGATGATTAATTCAGATCCTTTGCCTACAACTTTTGGGGAGAAAGCGGTGGTGCATATTGGATGGGCCCCACAGAAGGAGATTTTAGCACATCCTTGTATTGGGTTTACTCTAAATCATGGAGGATGGGGTTCAGTTGCAGAAAGTCTGCAACATGGTCATGTTCTTGTTCTTCTGCCATTAATGTATGATCAAGGCCTAAATTCAAGAATGTTAGTAGAAAAAGGGCTGGGAGTTGAAGTAGAGAGAAATGAAGAAGATGGTTCATTTACTAGAAATGATATATCTAACGCATTGACATACGCCATGGTTTCTACAGAAAGTGAAGAGCTTAGGGCAAGAACAACAAAAGCTTCTGCTATTTTTGGAGATCGAAAATTGCATGATTCTTACATTGCTAGCTTTGTTGAGTATCTAAAAACTGATAGCAATAAATCTGTGCCCTAAACTAAAATCATTAGTCTTAATTTGGTACTGTAGGCAATTAAATCATGTTTAGTCTGCTTCTTTTTCCGTTTTCCATTAATGTAACTTGTTTCCTCTCAGTTGATTGATGATGTTTACTACTACACTATGAGGTTAGTACTCACTAGACAAGCGGTACACTGAACACCAACCCAATCGTGAGAAAAAATTTCTTGCAGCTACAAAAACTACAACAACCTCCGTGAACAGACGCTTTTTCAGTTCATTTTTTATATAACTTCAATTCAATAATTAAGAAAAAGGTTAAAAAGGCTGAAGAAGCACATCAGTTATTAGAAAGCATGTTTCCTTTAATTACAGTAATCATAATCAAACATCAGAAAATATATAACTTTATCAACGAAAATATTTTTTTCGTGGAAATGACATGTGTCGTACTAAACATACCCAAGTGTCACACTATTTGTAGCTAACTAGATATAGCTGGTAAAATATCTTGTAAATATCATCCAACAATAGAAATGTATAAGACTTTGGAGTCCTTGTGTTGCTATAACCTGCCAAAGCAGAATTGCACAGAAAATACTTGTTTGAGTGTTTGGATTTTTTTTTAAAAATTTATTAATTTTTTTTTTATGGAGAATTTCTTTCAGATGAGCCCACGAGGTTGAACTAGGGTGGTTATCTTTGAACAATAGTTGAATTTATTGGGACCCTTACTAACTACAGCCTAACTGAAACGACCAAAAACAAACCTCTTTTGACTTTTTCCCCCCAATTTTGCGACTTCGAAATGCTAATTTATGCTTAGCTTCCACAGACAACTAATTTTTCCAACAACATGAAAAATGTAATCCATATATACCTAACATGGTGGAAAATTATATATCTTGCTTTTATAGTTTCTTGTGTCATGTCATGATTCATCATATTGAAGTTGATATGTTTCTAATAGAGTCTATATCCTACGTAAGTGTTGGTATGGTAAAACTTTACCAGCACCTATTCTAGTTTCGAACTTTGCCTATATATAACACTTGTTTGTATTTGTAGTTAAAAAACAAACCAACTCCTTGCACCATATTCAAGCTAAGTAATAGAGTGGCTGTGTAGAGCTCAAGTGAACTACCAAAACATTTACTTCAATCCTTTCTTCCATGGTAAAGTGCAGATTGTAATTCATCTTACCTCCTCTTTTACTCCAAATGCTGGCTCTAAAAAAGCAATTCTTCACCTTCAAAATGTTCATCACTTCTAGAAACATGCCATTATAACTGCTTCTGAAGTTATACATTTTTCGTAAATTGTGCTTACTGTTATGAAGGGAAACCTTGGAGCAATAACAAAGTTGTTTCGATGTGACCTATAGGTCACAGGTTCGAGCCGTGAAAGCAATAGGTTGTCAATATCACAACCCTAGAGGTGTGGCCTCTCCACGGACCTTGCGTGAATGCAAGATGCTTTATGCACTAGGCTGCCCTTTTTTTTGTGTGTTCACTATTATGGGGTTTTCCTAAAATGTGAAAAAGCATATCTTGCTATATCTTTTATTTTATTAATAACCCGGATACCTGCTAACTCTCATCATAACAAGTACCGACTAACATAGTCCACCAAGGCTTTGGTATTTTTGTCTCTGTTGGGAATTGAAATCATATCTTGCTTTATTATATTCTTGCAGATGGTAAAGACAGATTGGTTGCTATTAGTCCTTATGATGGGACTGGTGCTTTCAAGTATAGAAAGAGCAGAGGGAAGAAAGACAGGAATTCTTGAAGGGTCCTCCTATGAGTTAGCATACTCAGCAATAAACTGCAGAAAGCACAGTGCATCTATAAAAGATTTTGGAGGAGTAGGAGATGGAAAAACACTCAACACAAAGGCATTTCAGAAAGCAGTGAATCAATTGAGCCAATATGCATCAGATGGTGGAGCTCAGCTAGTTATCCCTGCTGGTCAGTGGCTCACTGGTAGTTTCAATCTTACTAGCCATTTCACTCTTTTTCTTCACAAGGATGCTGTTCTTCTTGCTTCTCAGGTACTACTAATATTGTCAATTCTACTTCACTTTCTTTTTCTTGTCTTTACCAGAGTTTCATAAAATAGTTAATAGAAGATATGATACAATATGTATGTCACTTTTGATCTATTTTCTTGCATTGGAATTTCAAAGTTCTCAACTAGACAAGAAACTTTGTTGTGAAAAAGAAAAGGTAAATATTAAAGAGCCTCAGGGTAGTACACTATGCTCTCTCTCCGTCCCTACTCTAACAAAAAACTAAAGGCACATATCAAAGAAAGGTCGCCAAACCATGACCGAGTGTTTCACCCTTTGAAGCGCCAGTCGATAGGGCAGCTGGGCCAAGCCGAGTCAAAAAAGAGTTGACAACTCAAAGTTCATGTTCATTGCTATTAATAAGAGTGTCGTTAAATTGGTTCAGGAAATAAAAAAGTGGCCCCTGATAGACCCCTTACCATCCTATGGTCATGGAAGGGATGCACCAGGAGGCAGGTATATCAGTCTCATTTTTGGTACTAACCTCACAGATGTCATCATCACAGGTAACTAAAGTCTTACTACATCCACCTTGAAGATGATAAATTTATGTTCTATCTTTCAACATTTAAAAAGAGACTTGTCTTTTCTGCATGATTAGGTGAGAATGGGACAATAGATGGGCAGGGTGCTGTCTGGTGGCAACAATTTCACAGGAAAAAGCTAAAATACACAAGACCTTACTTGATTGAACTCATGCATTCTAATAAAATTCAGATATCAAATCTAACCCTTGTCAACTCTCCTTCTTGGAATATCCATCCCGTTTATAGCAGGTGATAAATCAGCCAAATCTACATTATTCAACATGTTGTCGATTATTTACTTTTTCTCAAGTTTTTCATAATCTTCATACTTCTGAAATTTCAGCAATATCATTATCCAAAGCCTCACTATTTTAGCACCTGTAACATCCCCAAACACTGATGGAATCGACCCAGGTTTTTTTCTTTTCTTTTTTCTAAAAGCATTTTAATAAAAGAAGCCAATGAAGCTGATTCATTTAGTCAACTTTTCTTATTCTCCAAATTTTCAGATTCTTGCACAAATACAAGACTAGAGGACAACTACATTGTATCTGGAGATGACTGTATAGCAGTCAAAAGTGGCTGGGATGAATATGGTATAAAATATGGAATGCCAACAAGTCATCTGATCATCAGACGTCTCACTTGCATTTCACCTTACAGTGCAGCAATAGCATTAGGAAGTGAAATGTCAGGTGGAATTCAAGATGTGAGAGTTCAAGACATTACAGCCATCAACACAGAATCAGGAGTAAGGATAAAGACAGCCGTGGGACGAGGCGGCTTCGTCAAAGATGTATATGTCAAGGGGATGAAACTGCACACCATGAAATGGGTATTTTGGATGACAGGCAACTATGGTTCACATGCCGACACTCATTGGGATCCTAAAGCCTTACCAGAGATAAAAGGGATCAATTACCGGGATGTGGTGGCTGAGAACGTGTCAATGGCCGCCCAGCTAGAGGGGATGTCCGGGGATCCTTTCACTGGAATCTGCATGTCCAATGTGACAATTGGATTAGCAAAGAAGGCCAAGAAATATCCATGGACTTGCACTAATATTGAAGGAATTAGCAGCAATGTGCAACCTCCACCTTGTCAGTTGCTGGCTGATCAGGGCCCAAAGAAGAGTAGGATGTGTGATTTTCCTACAGAAAGTTTACCCATAGATAACATAGAGATGCGAAGATGTTCTTATAGATTGAATTACTGATAAGCTTTCCTTACATGTACCAGTTTTATAATTTTAGTGAACTATCAGTACTTTTCATGGCTACTTATAGAATTCCCACTCAATTTTATGCTACAAATACAAGGATTTCATGTTACGCTATGAGAAGCAAAACGATGGTTCCACCCTTCAACATGATTAACACATCTAATAGAGACAAACCATAAGCACATGGCACCAAGCAGGAATTGTTATTGACACATGCCAGATAGCAAATTCTCACTTTAGCTGAGAAAGAACAATGAGCCAATCAAGAAAACTAGGTGCTTGATTATAGGCATACAGATCTACAATCACACAGGGCATCCAAACTAAAAAATACATACATCTACCGTCAAACTACTTGAAAGCAATAGGTCAAATTTTCAGGATAACAAGCTGTAATCACTCAGGATTTCCTAGTCCTACCACTCAGAGAAGAATCTGGTGTCAAGATGGAATTGGTACTTGGAAATGTTCTGATCACGGACTGCCATTCAAGTTTGGTTTTAGCTCCTTTGTACAGCATTGATCACCTTGAAAGATTATAGAACAAATCTAACATAAGCTAATATCAGAGCCGTGAACTCACCTCCACTGCATTTGTTATATTTTTACTGTGGAACATTACAAAGTTTGATACAGTATTCTACAAAATTACGTCACCGAACTCTTAACTGCATAAATTGTAAAACAGCGTCTCTCTCAGTGAGTTGGATCTGGATTAAATTTCACGGATTCCCTCCAGATGAGTTCCTTGATATTTTCTTCAGTGAAAGATGGCTGCTCAAAGTCAAAACTGAAAGGCTTAGGACAAATGGGCTCCTCATTGATATCATGAAGAGGCGCCAAGTAGGGGTGGCAGAGCGCTTGATCAACTGCAAAAGATCATAAAGAGGATTAGCAATGGCAACATCAGTTTCAGCATAAAACTTTGTTTCTAAATATAGAATTATGAGTTAGAATTGACTCAAAGAAAGTTCTAATGAATTATCTTTACCTGTAACACGCCTGCTTGGATCAAAGACAAGCATTTTTTCAAGCAAATCAACAGCTCCAGGAGATGAATTGGGGAATCTAGCAGCAAATTGTTGTCTTGGATACTGGGGGAGCTGTCTAACATATCTCCGAGCATTATCGCTCCGGAGAAATCCAAGACTGGCATCATCAGGTGATCCTATGAGCTATTTTAAACAAGTGAAGGGACCATATCAGGATTGAACTGACTAAATTACCAAAAGTGAACCTCTTTTTGTGCAAATTAACAACTAAATAAACAGGTATTTGAAGAAATTTCTAAGCAAAATACACTTGGATAGGCCACAGATCATGTTAAAGCATTATAGAGAGCAGTTATTATTCATCATTGCTGTTTTAAACTTATGGAATCTGTCAGGATAGGCATTGAAGGTAGACAAGCACACAATGCATATTTACCTCTGTGATAAGTCTCAACTGGTGAACATAGTCCTTGCCGGGAAAGAGAGGTTGTCTTGTCATCATCTCACCCAGTATGCAACCTACTGACCAGATATCAATTGCTGCTGTATATTCTGAACAATTTAGGAGCAACTCCGGTGCCCGATACCACCGTGTTACGACATACTCCGTCATGAAATCTGTCTCAGATGTTGTCCTTGCAAGCCCAAAATCTCCAACTTTAAGGTCACAATTCGCATTGAGAAGCAAATTGCTAGGCTTTAGATCACGATGCAGGACGTTGGCAGAGTGAATGTACTTAAGTCCTCGTAGTATTTGGTATAGGAAATACTACAAAAAGCAACAAGGAGAAGGCCACTCATGTACAGGAAGTACTCAATATGGAAAACGTAGATATATCCTAAACAAATAGACCTCTTTAAGGCAATATAGGCATGCACAATTGTAGCTATAAACAGTAGTAAATTGAGACCAGATTACAGATCTGGACAAGCACAGTTATCCGGATAACTAAGATGACTCATGACTGTTCATCCTGTCATGTTTAGGGAACAAAAGTTTCTAACCTTTTTTATTATTGGTTAATAACAGCAAAAAACCTTCTGACTTCTGCACATTCAATTCTGAATAATCATAAAATTGTTTAACCTTTTCTTCACAACTTGGCCTTACAGTGGAATTTTTTGTAATATCATACAAGGCAGTGTTCTATAAGCCTGATGTGTGAACAAGTGTAGTTTTTGGCATGGACAAGTTTCACATTGAGTGTCATGTGGTGGATGCAGTGAATATCACTACCTAAGTGGAGTCTATACACTATTAGTTTACTGCTTGTACGCTTGCCAAGTAAAAACAATATAACATGGAGAAAGGGTTATACATTATTCATATACTTCCAAAAAGTTGTCTTCCACCTTCTTCAGATTATCAAGCAAACAACTCTCTTCTTTTACATCCTACACTGGAACAGAACGATACCATAGATTTTCTTAAGATTGAAACCCCTGACACGAAATAGATATTTGGACAATCCTTGTTAACTTTTTCTTTTCTTGAGCTGGCAATTAAGTTGGACTATCCTTATTACTTGGGGATCTAATATAACAGCATATATATCAAGCTAGAGAGAAGCTATCCAGAGATTAGTAATGCAGGTATAGCTTGTTGTTGGACACTTGGATGTTTGGCTTGATATGTTACAAGTTAGTACACAATGCTATAATTTAAAATGTGTTTACATTTTAAGAAAAATAAATGTTTATTTACTATTACCCGCATTCTTATTTCACATTCTATCCTTAACTTATGCAAGTATTATTTATGAGGAAAGCAAAAGTAGTAACCAAACATTGTATTATTAATGCTGGATTTTATGTGGATATGAAACTTTACTCCACCAATGGACCCTTTCTATGAATTGATTCTTACTTGTAATCAAAATCTCTAAATGCTACTGTTTTCAAAAAAAAAAAAAAGTTTGTGATTGTTTACTACTCTCCCTAAAATTATATTCATGTTGACTTTCAAACTTCTACATGATAGAATTTTCCAAGCAGTTTATTATTTTTGTCATTTCTTCCGAAAGTGTTTGAATTTCTGTCCTAAAGTAGCTGTGACCAAAGCCCAATTTGACCTTTGCAGATCAAAATTGTGCAAAATTTTAGGGACAGAGAGAGTGATACGGAGGAATTACCAGACGTAAAAGTACAAATTGCAGAATCTCAAAAAATAACATTTGTCATCCAACCACATTTTTAAGCTGGACTCTTAAGTCCGGAATTTTGAAATTAGTTGTATTCAGGGGAACAATTTTAAATTACCAAGTCAGCAGGAGTGATTATTAAATGTAGTGGATATAAGAAACAGCAAAAGCAAGGCCAAATAGTACCATCTTTGTAACCCAAAGATCACCTTTATGTTCAAGTCTTTGATGCCATAACAATCCAGAAACCAGTTATACCAGCTACATGGGGATTCATTATGTTAAAGGAAATTATAGACGGGTCACCTACTATTCCTTGTTGATTGGTTGAGTAATGCTTTCTCATCTTTACTTGAACATCATACTTGACCAGGTGTCCCTTTGCTTTAAATTTTAATTAAATGACATAAAATGGAGTCATCAGTAAACCATAAGAAAGTCTAGCTTACCCGACAGTGATCATCAGTCAATTGTTGATTGGAACGAATTATCTGATGAAGATCAGTGTCCATCAATTCATAAACAATGTAGACATCATTGAAATTCTCAGTTTGTGGAGGCCTTATAATATCTTTAATGGCAATCACCTGTGGTAATTATAAAAGGTAAAATGTTATCATTCTGACAAAACGAATACGTCGAATCATTATTCCAAAGACAAGAAAAGAATATGAATACCAGCAATACACAAATAACTCCATAAATAAAATTCTCTTGAAGAAGATAGAAAAATATCTAACATAAGAGATAAGACAAATGCACTGGAAAGTGAACGAAGAAAAGATTTATGAAAGAAACTATCCTTGAAAGAAGATATGTAAGGAGGATAGGCAATTTGACCATCTTAACAGTAAGGCATTAGTTGCCATAAATGCACATACCTTACCTTATCAAAAAAAATTACCATTAATGCACATGCTTCCAATTTCTTAACGGCAGATTCTATGCATAGGAGTCAACAGATCACCTTACTCTTAGTCGTGAGTTTTTTTATATAAGGTGAGAAATTTCATTTATACTGCACCAAGAAGGAGCAAATATGTACAGCCAAAAATTCATCCTCCCCCTCTTTAAGCTTGCAGGGAGTGTATGAAAATCAGTAATAGAGATTACATCAAAATCAAAAGACAGTTTACACCAGGAACTCTTGGCAAAGGGTTAACCATCACTATGGAATTCAGAAAGCACTATTTACCTAAAACTGTACTCTTAGGCATTTCTCCTATTCTTTTTACAGCTAACTATCTATTAAAAGTAACGACCCTCGAGACATCTTCCCTTCCTTTACCTCTCGGCTTCAACTGAAGGCAGGAGGAGATGGAGATAGGATCCAGCATGCTTCACTTTTTTTTCCAGAGAAAGCAGGCTTCAATTTTATCGCCTACATTGCCAGAACTCAAGAGAAAAGCTTCCCTCTTCAATTTCTACCCATCAAGAAAAGCTCTACCATTAAAAATCTGATTTCCATGGTGTTCCTTCTTCTATCAATTTCTTTTCTCCAAATTATACAGGCAAGGTATCTAAAAGTTCAAACAAAAAGGGATATCTAAAAGGTGCATACAACTACTATCATTACCAATTCTTACTGGTGTCATCACCTTTTGGTAATAAGTGGTATACATAATTATTTCAGCAAAGCAAAGATAGTAGCTCCGGACGCCTCAAATCTCTCTCAGATCAACCATCTCTGGTTCATAACCCTGTCTTTTGCCTACTCTAGTAACTTGTGATACAGTTCACAACCATTCCACCTACCCACCCTCCCCCAAGAAATAGAAAGGAAGGGGAACAACAGCTCATTATGTCTAGTAACAACCAAGGAGCAAAGGAAACAAAAAGAAATATACAAGGATTGCTCCTTACAAATGGCTAGGGGAACAGCAAACTATAAACTGCAGCGACAAGAAGACTACTAAGTTATATGTTGGGATACTGAACAGCAAACAGAAAAAGACCAGCACAATAACAGATAAGTCAGTTTTCATGCAAGTAAATGGGCAAGCTAACATGACAAAGTGATCGATCAATCTGAGGAGTGGGGCCAATCTTTGAATTTGTGAAGCAATGTCAATACTCACATTGTCATGATCCATGTGACGAAGAAGCTTTATCTCTCGTAGTGTCCTTTTCGCATCAATTCTATTATCAAATGCATTGCCAATCTTCTTAATAGCTACTTCTTCACGTGTTTCCGAGTTCATAGCAGCACTGAAGGAAAATAAAAAATCACATTTTTCCTTCACATAGTAAATAAACAGAGGAAATAAGTTAAATAGAGGACAAGGACAACATATAAGATCCTCGGAAAAGCAAAAGGCAAAAACTTCTATTTTCTCTTGCCGAGACTCCACTTACGAACACAAGATAGATATTTAAGAGTAAAATGATCATGGAGGGAAACTACTACTAGTTGGACCGAAAAATTTTTTTAAGAGATTATGTGATAATTTTTTCTCAAGAATATTACAGAATGATCTAAAGAGTGTCAATTGGATATAGTTGTGACATAATGAAACTAAGAGTGAAAGTAGAAAAATAGTTACATGAAAGCCAGTTCCCTATATGACAATAAGGAAGAAACAGCATAGGGAAAAGCATACTTGCCAATCTTCAGCAGCAAAAAGCTCTAAGTTTAAGCCCCCCGACTCATTATAAGACACCTAGTGGCTTCTTTGTATCAGGAAATACCAACATAAGAAAACTTCATCAGGATTGAGAATATCTCTGCTCCGCCACTCTTCTTAACACAAACTTAGTAACTTTCCAAGCCAAGTGTCCATCGTCCGAATACCAAATTACAGCTGGTGAAACTTTTCTTCACATCAAGGAGGTCATTTCCAATTTACTTCAGGTTCAAGCCAATTCTTGCATTAACACCTTTAAATTTTTGTATTCTTCCAAAACTTCTAGCCTAGTACAAGTCAATATGAGACCTTTGACCTTCTATCATTATACATTATCATTTTTAATCACGTATCTTTTTGTTCACTCAGGTAACTAATTCACCTAGTTAGTTTTTCAAATATCTGACTAGCAATTTCACAAGATACTTAGCTGGCTAATAACTGCCAAGTTTCACATACTAGTTCTCGTAATCCATAAATACAACATTAGCCTAGTTATGAGCTAAACTTGCACCAAAGTGGACCGATTGGAGAGGTCACTGATATCATACTGAATTAAAGATGCAACTGCTTGTTCCATAAACTTGTGCAAATACTTGAGTCATGCAGTAGCAAACGTTGTACTCCTAGTTTCCTGAAATTAAACTTTAGACCTAAAGAAGCTACACAAGTTGACTAGATATCAGTTTTAACAGTGCCACAGCTATTCAGTAAGGATGGACCTATAAGAATTGCACTGGATAGTTTTAAGTTATGTTTTCTCAAGAGAAAACACATAACTAAGCACTTACCAAACACAACCTAAAAAACTCATCAAAGGCACTTTTAAATTTCTTGATAGTTCACAAACTTCCACATTCGACCAAATCAAAGAAATTTGAAACCAAAAGATACCCAGAAACACAGAGTCTTTCTTTTAATCACAATGGTCAGCAGGGCCAACATGCACGCATATCAATTAACAAGACTTTTATAGGTCAATATTCACTCTAGGGCAAGCTTAGTTCCTCCTCATAGACTACAACCTAAACTATTACAAAAACAAAAGAAGAATTAATTCAAAGAAAAAAAACTTGAAGTTCAATAAGGGATAGTAGTAGTATTATTCATACCAAACGATGCCATAAGCTCCACGACCAACAGGCCTAAGGGGAACATACTTTTTGGAAACTTCAAAAAGATTACCATACACATTATACTGCACATATCGACCCCCATGAGTTGGAATTCCTTTGAAATTACTTTGAACACCTTGATCACCTGAACTTGCCTCCATAATAAAATCAACCCAAAAAGAAGTAAGAAAATTCTTTTTCTTAAAAAATAATTGGAATCTGGGCAAAACCCAGTTTTATTGGCCTATTTCTGTCGGTGGCCTTTCAAGAAGAAGATGTGAAGAGCACTTTTGACATTTCTTTGAGTGGTGGTTTTTCTTTTCTTTTACTTTCCTTTCTCTTTTCTAAATTGTAGTAGCAAATTTTTCGAGAGAAAATTTTGGGGAAGGACGTGTGTGAACTTATGAACGGGACTATTTTGTTGTTTTTTTCCCTTATTCCGTCAAGGATTTTTTTTTTTTTTTTTTTTTTTTGGTTTTCCATTCGGCGTCCGCTCCATATTGGAGCTCGACAATATCCGAATTCCTACAATCTCACTCGGGAAAAAGCACTTCAGAGCAGCTTTATCTATTGCACCACATCCTTTGGTGGTATGAAAATTGACTTGTCTTCGAATGATGGATTTTTGCCTCTTTTTCCTTTCTTTTCTTTGTGGAATAGTCTTCCCAAATTTTTCACCATACAACTTTTACATTAGATTTTTCTGACACTTTAAACTTTCTTAGTAGCATGCAAAGTAATTTTTTTTTTTATGTGGTGACCTTTTTTTTCCGATAGGAATTTCGGATGACTTATTTCATTTTGTTACTCAGTTGGATAAATTATATTTTGGAGACTACAAACCAGAAAAAAATGATAAAATATTTTCTTAATACCTGTTAAGATAATTTGCTTTGTCATTTTGCACTTGGTGTTTCCAACACAGAGGTGGTCCATAATTTAGAGTCTCTATATAAGTAACTTCGTGTTTTTAATTTTTTGAATATGTATATATATTATTCGAGTCCAAAATAATTGATACATTCACTATTTTTCAATACTAGATGCACTTACGCCAGCTCTATTGTGAAAGTGCGGCTAATGTGGTTACCTTATAACTACTCCTTAAGTTTATTTTTAGTTGTCAAATTTTGACTTTGCACTCACTTGAAGCAAAAATAAGTAAAGTATGTAATCGACAGTCGTGGTTAATGAAAATAGTTGTCTCAAATTATTTGTCATTTTAGAAGTTTAAGATAAAATTGATTATTTTTTTCCTTTTTACCCTTAGTAATAATTGTTCTTGAAGATGGAGATAACACATAAATAGAATAAATATTCAATGAAGAGAGATTATATTTTAAGACATAAATAAGGTATAATAGTCCAATCTCTTTCCTAACTATTATTTCTTAAGGGGCGTGTAAAAGAGAAACACGACACGTAATATGAGACGGGGGAGTAGTATTTTACAACTTTACCTATAATAACGGTAGCATTTCAAAAAGTCTTTGGAAATAATTTAGAAATGAGTAGTTAATGATAAAGGTAAAGTAGGAAAAAAGATTATCTTTCTCTTGATTTGTTAAAATAAACAAATAAAGGTGAAAATATATTTTTAGTATTGTAAACAAGTAAAATTGAACGGAGGAGTAGTTAATTATTTTCATAGTGAAATCGGGAGTTAATTTTATCCATGGTCATTGAACTTTCGTATTTGTTACCCAAAAGTCACTTATCTTTTTTTTTGTTACGTAAAAATCATTCAACTTTGTGTTCATTACACAAAAATCACTTTTCTTTCTTTTATTACACAAAAATTATTTTACTTTGCTCTAATTATCACAAAAGTCGCATTTTTACTTGAAAAGTCTATTATGCCCTTGATATTATATAAACCTTCATATTTATGTAATACCTTCTATAGTATATACTATATAATATATTTTAACTATCTATTTATCTATAAATATAATAACTTAATATTATTTCATTTATTATTTTTATAATATATTTGTATATTTAATTTTTTCTTGACGTTAATTTTTAAAATATATTAGTAGCGTTATTAAGTTTGTCAGTAACTTTAATATATATTAGTAGAGAAATAAATCGGCAAGTACATTTTCATAAGAAAATTCACAGGTAAACAAACAAAGAAAATAAGGAAAAAAATCATATGTTAATCTGAAGGAAAATCCCTAGGTAACTCTACATGCGAATTTAGCTGGGGATATTTTCTTGGGGATTTACCTTGGCAATTGGTTATTTGAGAAATTACACTACTAGAAATTCGGGAAAAATCGTCCAAAAAATCGACCAAAGTTGGTCGGTAATGGCCAATAACCATCCAAAACGCTACCATTAACGTGTGGTCGGTATTTTGAAGGTCAGGAAGGCATACCGACCAAAGTTTGACATCGGAAATTACCGACCAACTTTAGTCGATTAAATTCCAAAAATAGTTGTTTTATAGCGCTACTAATATACTTGAAAACTAAAAATAAGAAAAAATTAAATATACGAATATGTTATAAAAATAATAAATAAAATAAATTTTAAGTTATTTTATTTATAAATAAAAAGTAAAATACATAGGTAAAAATATATTATATAGTATATAATACAGAAGGTATTACATAAATATGAAGGTTTATATAATATCAAGGGCATAATAGACTTTTCAAGTAAAAATGTGACTTTTGTGATAACTAGAACAAAGTAAAATGAGTTTTGTGTAACAAAAGAAAGAAAAGTGACTATTGTATAATGAACACAAAATTGAATGATTTTTACGTAACAAAAAAAAAGTGACTTTTGGATAACAAACACAAAAATTCAATGACCATGAATAAAATTATCTCTGAAATCAGCTAGTAATGTATTACTCGAACAGTTTATAAGTAGACGGCTGTTTGTTAGGATCCCCTGATATGTTTTGCACATTTTGTGAATTTCAAACTTTAAATGCTCTTTGTAACTTCAATATACTCTGAATTTTTTTCCAACGAATTAAAGTAAGAATGTTCTAGAAAAGGTTATCAAGGAAAATTGCTAATAGCGTAGGAAACTATGGTCTACCTTAATAACATATTATCACATTGACTTTCAATGTATCAAATTGATCATTCCTCTCCAAATATATATATTTATATCGTGGCAGCTTGGAATTGGAATATTTTGAGTAATTACGTACATATGGTTGGTTGTTCTACAGATTTTCTTTGAAGACTCTGATATTTTATTCTTGGAAACTATGAGCAGTTGGAAAAAAAATTGTTTTTTATCCAGTCAGGTTGGCCATTGGTAACCTCATTTTGTTCGACTAGTGCAAGAAACTTTTGTTTTGTTTTTTTGGTCTACCCATAGAATTGAAAGTGGAACAATGGACTTAACCCCATTCATGCTTCTCCTAACTATTGAGCCAAACTAATACTCCCTTCGGTTCACAATAAGTGTCCAATTTACTTTTACCACGCCCATTAAAAAAATACTAAATTCTATACAAAAATACATACTATGACTAAACTACCCCTAATTAAACATTTAATGTGAGGAGTAAGAAAACCTTTTAGGGATATGTACATAGGGGTTATTTTATAAAAACAAATTGAATTCTTTCTTGATTACATAACTGGACACTTATTTTGAACCAAAATGAAAAAGTAAATTGGACACTTATTGTGAACCGGAGGAAGTATTCCATTTCCACTCTTACCATTTTCCCATTAACAAGAACCTTCTTTTTAAAAGAAAACATCAGCAATAAGAGCATGGCAACCTAATATTAAAATTACATCACTCCTAAGATGAATTTCGTTTCAATATTTCATTATTCAAAAAGACAAGAAAACACTATTAACAAAAAACGTTAAAAGAATTCTATATCCGGGGAAAAGAATACTCATGTCTAACTGTAGGTAAATTAAAGGTGAATGAATTAATCTAGGACCAGTGGCGGAGCCACATTGAAGCAAGGGGTGTCAAGCGACACCCCTTCGCTAGAAAATTAGGCTATTTTGCTAGATAATTTTTTAATTTTATGTATATTTATTATACATTGACTCCCCTTAACTTTTTGATGTATCTAATTATTTATATTTTGACATCTCTTAATAAAAATTCTGGAACCGTCACTGTCTAGGACTTTATCTCTGAGTATGTGTACAATCAAGTCGGAGAGGGATGGCTCCAACTTGCATGTATTCAACCCCACTTATTAATCCATCAAATATAGTAGTACCAATTAATAAACTAGAGTAATCTACCTTCGTTAGGTGGCCACTGATAAATAATGAATTGGACTATTCAGCGTATGACATTTGGTATTGCCAGCGGTTGGTGTGAGTTTTATCCCTACGACAAGTAAATATGGTACTCGTCACATAATTCAAAGGGATAAGTAAAATTACCCAAGCCACCTACCAAAAAACATTACTCCCTCCGGTCCAAAATAAGTGATTTTTTGTATATTTTCACACAGATTAAGAAATCTACCTTTTAGCATTAATTAACAATGAAGTTGACCATATTAATTTTTACTATCTCACATAAACGCTCCTAACACATATTCCAACGCTATTTACTCTAAGGACAATGTAAGAAAAAAATAATTAATTCATTCTTGAAATCTGGAAAAATCACTTATTTTGGACCACAAGAAAAAGGCCAAAAAATCACTTATTTTGGACCGGAGGGAGTATAAGAAAAGAGAATAGTTATCTCAACTCTCAAGTATTATCATCTCTACCTTCGTTAATATACACTGTTGTTAGCACTTGAAAAGTCAAACAGAATTCTCTTCGGGTTACGAATTATTCCCACTTTTTCTAGATATTTTTATAAGTAGTATATATTATGTAATTTTGAAGTGCTAAAATAAAAATTAAAGTCAAGTTTGAAGAACCGTCTACGTATTTGGTCTAAGAATAGTGATGTAAATGGAGTTGGAAGCTAGTCAATTCCCCCGCTCTTTGCGCCATCTCTGACTATAATTTTTCTTCACGAAATTGTACTTTAGTTCTTTTCTTTTCCTTTGTTTTCTCGTCATCACGTTGGAATTAGCTGTCTTTAACGTCGGAAACACGTCTGTCCAACAACCCACTTGCATAATCAAAAGCCAGAAAATATTCTGCATACCGCAATGCCCCTAAACCTAAAAACATGGATCCACTGACAGCATTGAACCTTACCCAACATTATTTCAAGATTGAACACACACAAAATGAAAACAGATTTAGCTCCAGAAAACAAAAGATAGAGCAGAAAAGTTCTAAATTGATCTGTTAGAAGGGATGACAACTTTAAAGTGAACCATAAACCATTTTTATACATCATAGACATAGTATATAAGTACAGATATATATCCACCACCATAAAACAAGTATATAGCAATGATAAACAACCTTTATCACAACAATTACTATATATTGCACTTCTTAGCAGTACATCATATTTAACCAGAAAGCACAAAACTCCACATGGACACACGCACCCACACCCACACGCATGTGTATACACAAAAGACTCCCTTTTTCCTATTCACTTTACCATTTGTTTATGTACATTGTTGTTTGGTTGCACTGGTTTAATGACTGCACTACCAACTCTAAGGTTACAAAGCAAAGCATCACGTCCGGTTAGAAGGATCTGAAAAAACTTATCCGTCTCCTTTGTTAGGAGATCTAGTCCTTCCGAAAGTTTTTCTGACTTTTTAGTCAGATCTGAAGTTAGAAGTTCCAACTGTTCTGCGTCAATAGGGTCTATTCCATCCTGTATGACTGGGTATAACTTCTTCACGCTTACATCCACTGCTTCAAGCTCCTTCAATGCTGTGAACTTGCCTCCGGAATATATGCTCCTGATCTCCCCACTAATAAAATCACGAAGATCAACAAAAGCTTCAGTCCACAAGCAAGTCTCATGAACCTGAAGATCCTTCAATTTCTTCGCCGAACCTGAGAATGCAACAGCAAAGATGCTACATATGAAAACAGTTACAACCCTCACTCCATACATTGCGTGCATCAGAACCTTCCCTTTCGCAGAATTCTTGATCTTGGGTAGGTTCAGTGATTCAGTGAGGCTGTCCAAGATGGCAAAGCAATTCTCCAGTCTGTGGTTCTTTGAATTAATATGATGCTTCCATCCGTCCAACGAAGAACGAGCCTTCATGAACTGTGTTGAGGAGCCATCCAAGTTGTGCAAGCCGCATTGAAGATAAAGGTGACCTTGGCTAAGCCTGGATATCTCAGAGCTGTAAGCAATGCACATATCCAGCATCTTCAAACTATTGTCCAAGTAGACATCAATCCACTTCTCATCCCAGTCAGATACAGGAAGCTCAAGATCAGTAATAAGAGTTTTCACATCTGTATGAATTGCACAAAGTGTGCTTATTGCTTGTTTCATCCATGATAGGCTAAGGATATCTCCCTTGCCTCCAGGCTTAAGACTCTTAAGCCTGCCTGCTAATGTCCCCTCAAAGGCATTCAACAGAGCAAGAAGCCTAGGAGACAAGTATGAGCCCTTGGGTAATATCATTTTGAAAGGATTTCCAAATCGGAGAGAAGGGCGGTGTGGTTCCTGTGGGAGACTCATTTGGATATAGATAAACTGCACAGAAAGCAGAGAAAAAGACACTGTCAACAAAATTACACACTCAGTAAACCAAGTTTTAGCTTTTACCCAGGAAATCACACCCCATAGCTTAAAGAAGATTCCCCTTTATATGGAGCAAATATTCTAGCATACTCCTCATTATAACAGTAAACAAACTATATAATTATGATTATGCAGCAAATAGTACATACTACTTGACAGTTAAGCTTGAACGAATCAACAAGAGGTACATGCCACAACTACAAAAAGAACTCTAGCTAAATGAAAGAGAAGCTGCATACCGCACAGGCGGACCTAGTATCTAGAGGATGTGTCTGGTAACCGGGAAAGCCTAGATGGCTGTTCCTCTACCTGTTGGGGAGATGCCAACCATCTCTACTTTCTATGAACATATGTCAGCAGCCTCACCCAGCAAATCCACTCAACCATGGCAAGAAGACCATGTAATTCTCTATTCTCAATAATCCTTTTTTAAAGAGTTAAGGAAAACAAAACTATTAACCAGAGTACCTTAGAACTTTTAACTAGGGTTCAAAAGGAAACAAAAACAAACAGAGTAACTGCTTGAATGGATCAACTCTTCCTTTTATTCACAAAAAAGGTTACCTCATAGAATCTAGGTACAGAAACTCAAATCCACAAACCTTCTCAAAAGAAAATAATTTCTTTTTTTTGTTTATTACCATTAAGATAATCTTTTGCTAATCACTGATTGAGGGGAAAGAACACAAACTTACATTAGAATCTCACCAAAGAAAAAAAGCTTGTGGCACAGAAATATCCACAGATCCAAGACCAACTCACAACCCATGCGTTCAAGCACACAAATATACATGGATCTAAGAAAATATTGACAATTCATGATTTTAGCACTGACATATCCGTAGATCTAAGTCAAAATTCCACGCTTTTAACTCATGTATATCCATAGACCTCAAACAGCTCAAAATTCATTCATTTAGGCATAGATCTAAAACAAACTCCAGTATATAAACAAAAGAAAAAAAAACTAAAGCAAATTGACTATCAAATTAAGCGATAATTACATCGTAAACACTGACCTGATAGTCGGATTATTCAAATCCGGAGGTGATCCAAAACGGTCAACGCCTTAAAAGCTGCACCGATTTTCACAAAGCTGTATCAATAAATTTCGAGTCAAACCCTAAAGTTCTATACACACACACACATAGAGAATAAAGGAAAACTATTATGAAAATAGTGAGAAGAAATGGCCGTACCTGATATAGAGTACAGAGACGAAACGGTAAACAGAAGCGCCGTGGAAAGTTCGCAAGGTCCGCGTTGTTTTGGGAGATGATAAGGGTTTGGTTTTATCGGGACAATAATGTCCTTGCGGAAAAATTTGGCCGTTGGATTTTCATTATCACACGTGTGTATAAATGAGTGGTTACCACTGATTTTTCTTTTTTTTATTTATTATTTATTATTAATGCGAATGGATTGTGCATATACTCACTAATAGGGGTCGTTTGGTAGGGTGCATAAGAATAATGCTGAATAGTGTGTATTAGTAATGCTGGTATTATTTATGCTTGCATTAGTTATGCTGACATATTTCTTATCCATTGTTTGGTTTGATGTATTAAAGTATTGCACAATTTCTAAAAGAATTGTTTGTTTACAAAAATGCCCTAAAAACTAGTCCACATTCTAACTTTTTAAAAGAAACATATGTCGAGAAATGTTTTTATATGAAAAAGTTTTAAAAAAATATTTTATTTGTCTACCGAATATTGTAAAATAAAATATTATAAAAAAGGAAATATGCTAAGTATTTATTTATTTACTAGGGATATAATTTTATTTCTCACTATTTGGATTATTTTGAACTTGCATTAATATACTAACTAGCATATTTTAATCAAGCATAAATTTTGAAGGACAATTTTATCTTTAACTAAGCTAATGCATGCATTAAAACCCATTGCATTACTAATACCATTGTTTTCTATGCATTAGTTATGCATAAGATAATACCAAATAGGATGCATAACTAATACTTGCATAACTAATGCATAGATTTAGAATGTCAACCAAACAATGTATTATTAATATACAAAGTTAATGCATGCATTAGCTTATCTAATGCATCCTACCAAACGACCCCATAATATACTTAAAAAAGTTATGCGCTTATGCACTGTAATATCCATTTTGTTTTTAAATAATCAAATTTTTGTATTACTAGTGTAAGTATCTTTATTTCCAAATTTTATCATATATAAAATAGTACAAAAAATTTCAGTATATGGTAAGAAAAACTTATATATATGCACATTATTTTGAATAAAATATTTATCCTTGATTATAATTGAATAATGTTTTAATTTGCAACTAGCACTCTTTTTGGATTTAAAGTTGGGGTATTGTCACTTTTAGCCAGCGCCAGAAACTATTTACATCTGGTAGCCGAAAAAGTGTATTAAATTTATATAATTTTGGTATATAATATACAAAATTTATATATTTTTTCAGATATTACTTGTACATCGGCTATACATTTTTATTTTTCCTTTAAAGTTTCTTTATTTAATGTACATGGAGCCCGAATGACATCATTGTACTTCGAACTTTTTTTTAAGCGGTAGCTAATTAACCTTTGAACAATCTCTTTGGCCACACAGATATTTTATATCTAGCTAGCTCTTCTTTTTTTATCCAGACTTTTTCTTTTTATTATTTGTGGGAATTATTTTATTGCAATATGGCGAGGAAGTGTGTAGAAGATTGAACACGGCAAAAATCGCACGGTTAATATTTTGGTGACTTCAGCCATGTCTGTTTGTTGGGATCCATCATATCCCATACTCTCCCATTTGTAGTATAGCTTTTACTTTTCCGCACGAGTTTCTCTAGAAAATACTTATATCTAAAAATATTTCTGGTTTGATTTTTTGGCAAAGTTTTGAAAACAAACTCTATCGTAAAGGCCCTAATTAATTAGCTATACTTTTGCACTTTATTTTAAGGTAGCAAGCAATGAATGAGGTTTTGACCAAATGGTCAAGTAAGTACGCGTAACGATATTACTTCATTTTCTTAATAATTCAAACGGGGAAGAAATCTTCTAGATTAAAGTGATTGAAATGATTTCAAAAATTAATCTATATCCATTTAAAATATAAATATAAATCCATTACAACGTTCCATTACAGTATCCATCATCTACTAAAGTTTGGATATTACAATGTTACACCGGATGTTTACTTCAAACGAGTAAATAAATAACATATGTTTGCACATAAATTTTTATCATTCAGCTATAATTACTTAATATACATTCTATCTTATTTTTCACTTAAACACAGTAATCGGCGGGCCAATTCCGACTATGTGTTTGAACGTATCCAATCCTTTGATACATTTTGCAGTTCCAACATTTTCCAGTGGGCAAAATTAGACATGGCAAGTAATGTATAGACTCAGTTGTCAGAAGAATTAACCCAAATGGCCGTCCACCTATTCATTTAAACTAAAAATATCCTGTTGAGGTATAATATATGTATAATTTATATATTACATATGTATAATTATGTATATTCAATATATAATCAACGTATATGGCTAGAAAAAATAAACAATGAAAATCGCCGGCTATTATATCAATATATAATAATATACAGGGCTAAGAAAAGTAAACAATGAATATCGTTGGCTATTTATGTAAAGATCCCTGTCAAGTATTATTCGGCCCAAAATGAATAGTTGGGTCTCTTTCTGGGGCTACATATTGGGCCAGGTTTCTTCATCAAAGTTGGATAAAGTGAGAGGATCCTATAACAACACATAATAGGAATTGGCAATTTTTTAGCTTTATATTAGGTTTGGCAAAGATAGCCCCTTTCTCTTCTTGTATTTCTTCTTCTAATCTCTTCTCTTTTGCTCTCATAGTTTAGCAAAAATTCTTGCATATTATGCAACAAAACCAGTGGGATGAAAAGGTAAGGTTGATCTCACATCAGAAAAAATCAGAAGCAAAAACTAAGAGAGAAGAAATACATTCAACTTTATTTTCCTTCTCTCTGTCTCTTTTTTTTTTTGTTGGATTGAACGAGTGAGTATGATTGAAATTGGTTGAAAGTACCTAAACGACGCTATGTATAAAATTTGAGCAAGATTAGAAGCGATTTAGACTGGTTTCAGGTAAAAAATCAGATCTAAAAATCCAACAGCGACATGTGTATATCATGTTGTATATCGTGTACATCAGTGTATATCACACACATGTTTTTAAGGACGTCTGTGTATACCACTTTGTATATCGTATATTCAACACAATTTTTTTATGGATGCCCGTGTATATCACACATATATATATATATA